GCGGGGGTGGGTCGGGCTTGCAGTAGTTGGGCGAGCCAGGCTGGGGGGGCCGGGGGATGTGCTTGTTCTTCTTCTTAGGCAGCTTCTGTTTGGCCATGGCCAGCGAATAGTACATGCCAAAATTGTTGACAATGACAGGAACAGGCATGGCGATGGTCAGCACCCCCGCCAGGGCGCACAGCGCCCCGACCAGCATCCCAGACCACGTCTTGGGGTACATGTCTCCATAGCCCAGGGTCGTCATGGTGACCACAGCCCACCAGAAGCCAATGGGGATGTTCTTGAAGTAGGTGTGGTTGGAGCCCAGGATGTCATCGGGGTCGGCGCCAATGCGCTCGGCATAGTAGATCATGGTGGCAAAGATGAGCACGCCCAGGGCCAGGAAGATGATGAGCAGCAGGAACTCGTTGGTGCTGGCGCGGAGCGTGTGGCCCAGCACCCGCAGCCCCACGAAGTGACGGGTCAGCTTGAAGATGCGCAGGATTCGCACGAAGCGGACGACGCGCAGGAAGCCCAGCACGTCCTTGGCGGCCTTGGAGGACAGGCCGCTGAGCCCCACCTCCAGGTAGAAGGGCAGGATGGCCACGCAGTCGATGATGTTGAGGCTGCTCTTGAGAAACTCCACCTTGTCCGGGCAGAAGGTGATGCGCATGAGAAACTCGAAGGTGAACCAGACCACGCACACGCCTTCCACGTAGGTCAGGAAGGGCTCCGTCTCCACCTCCACGTTGGTGATGTTCTCCGGCGGGGCCCCGGGGATGGGGGAGGCCTGCGTCACAGTCTTGTTGCTGATGTGGATGAAGCCCTCGTGGGTCTCCAGGCAGAAGGTGGTGATGGAGATGAGGATGAAGAACAGCGAGGCGAAGGCCACATACTGCGGGCGGGACGGGAGAGAGAGAACGGTGACCGAGGCGCGGCGTCCCCAACATCAAGCGGGGCCCTTCTCACATCCCCTTCCCAGCCTCCCAGGCCGGACCCTGAGCGATCCAGGTGTCCCAGCCCCTTGGCTCCACCACATCCAGCGTCCTGTGCTGCAGGGACAGAGGCAGCCCAGAGGACCTGGGCCTCACAGAGGGGGCGGAAGGGCCCTGTCTTCTCGGGAACCAGCTCTCTGCTTTCCAGGCCACCTTGCTCCACCGTTCTGTCCTGGGGCTTCCTGGCCAGCTTCGAGGGACAAGCTTCAGGAGAGCCACGGGGGCTAAGGCCACACACCCCCTCAGAAGCCTCAGGCTCGGCTTGGAGTTGAGGAAAGGGGAACGCTCAGGAAGAGCCACTAGGTGGTTAGGAGCAAGAAAGCCCACGTTTAAATCCAGCCTTTGAAGTGCCAGGCTTGGGCAAAGAGGTCAGGCTTCCTGAACCTTAAGATCAAATGAGGGAGTGTACAAAGGGCTTGGCCTGCGGCCCGGAACGCGGTAAGAAGGTCTGAGTGGTTACTGGAGTACCCGGCATCACTTAGTGGGGTCAGTGCCACTGTCGAGGGCCCAGAAGAGGAACAGGCTGGATGAGGACTTTGCCTGGGGAACGCAGGGCAGAGGTGGGACAAAGCGGGAAGTCTGGGGCCAGGAAGTGAAGAAAGGTGGGCTTGGAGGGCTAAGCCGCAAGAAGGGAAGAGGAGAAAAGGAGAAGGGGAGGAGCTTGAGGGGCAGGGACTCGGCCTAAGGGTTAGGTGCGGGAGGAGGAAGGCCAGGGATCAGCTCCTGGGCATGGTCATAGCTTTACGATATTGGGGAGGCTTCCTCGGGGAGGGAAGGGTTCGGGTACTGGGGCGAAGGGGGCTTTAATCAGATGGGGTAGCGAGGAGGGGCTCTGCAGACCAGAGGGAGGGCCAAGGTCGGCGGCACAGATAACCCTGGACCTCGGGATGGGCCCGGGGATCAGCAAGGGCCCTAGGCCACCCTCTTGGTTTCTCTGCAGTGGGTTAAGAGGCAGGAGGCCTCCGCAGAGCGCATGCCCAGTGCTCCCCGCCCCCCTCCGCGCCGGGTGCCCAGCGCAGGCT